TGACATTTTTGATGAGAATATGTGTGTGTATGACATTTTTGATGAGAATATTAGGGAATAGGTAGACTTTTGCAAATAATATTTGATAGTAGACCACATTTTTACTATTAAACAATTGTCTTACTTAGAATGGGTTCTTAACCTGGGGTCCACAATTTTTAAAATATATTTCGATACTGGATTTTAACATAATCAGTTTGTAATACTTTGTATGTTATTTTTATTCTTTTAAGAACTTTATTCTGAGAAGGGATCCATAGGCTTCCCTTGACACAAAAAAAGTTTAAGAACCTCTGATTTAGAGAATCAAGGGCCCATAGTGCTTATTTAAAAAAAAATTTATTTGCTTTGTTAGATATTTCTCAATTACATGTGAAAATATTTTTAATCATTTTTTAAAATTTCAATTTCAAATTCTCCTTCCCTCTTGTCCCTCCTTCTTCCTTGAGAAAGCAAGCAATTTGATATCGATTATACATGTGAAGTCATGCAAAACATTTCATGTTAGTCATGTTGCAGACGAAAACACAAACTGCTTATTGGTTGTTGATTATAGAATAACATTTGATTTGGTAGATTAAAATGCCACTTCAGAAGTTTCTCAACAAAGGGTGTCTCACAGGTAGATCAAAATCATTTAAGAATCCTTAAAATAGATAACAAAAACAATCTGGTTCAGTTACCTTCCAATCCTAAGAACCAGATGAAACATAAAACATCGAGATGAATGTTTGCCAAAGTCTTTCCCACTGTGAGGGCTAAGTTAAAGGAGATCATTTTCCATAGATTGCATGATCTTCCAAAAAAAACCTTTTTAAAATGTCCTCATGCTGGTAGCATCAAGCCCTGAAGCTTTGGCAGAGCCTCTTAGGAGAGGTCTGTAACCATGCAAAAGAGTTTGGCCTGAGCACACATACAGGAATTAGATTATGATATTCAATTAGATGGACAACCTATAGACCACGGAGTCTGTGGCTAGATTTCAGGGGGTCCTTAAACTTGGATGGGGGGGGAAGCAAACAAAACAGCGTATCTTTATTTTCACGAATTTGAACTGAAATTAAGCATTTCCTTCCATTATGGATTTAGGCAACAAAACCACAGTACCATTAGCAATACATATGATTTAGTCATCAATAAAAATCAGATATTTAGTTGTCTCATTACAGTTGTAGATATCTTGAAATCTCATTTGTGCTCATCACTACTCTGAAGTTACTGTGGTTATTAGATTCACTGCTGTAACTACATCCTTAGTCCAAATGAGGGTAACTGCAGAATGTCGCTTACATTTTTATTAAGATCAGCTCATCCTCTCAGGTTCTTTCTTGTACTGCCTCTTCTGCTTATCTTCAAATCAAAAATTCAAAAAGGCAAATTTGCTTAGCATTTGTTTGCATAGCACTCTAAGAAAAGGACTCAGTTAGACTTGCCCACCACTCTCTAAATCAATGATATATTTCTTGTTCCCAGGCTCCTCATTTTGTTCACTTAAGAACAGGATTGAAGATGGGAGAGACCCCTTTGAAGGATACTGTGATCTATGATGGTCTTACAGATTCATTCCACAATTATCACATGGGTATTACAGGTAAGGTAGTAAAACAGTTTGGGTTAAAAAAAATTAGAGAAATGTATGATTGCTATGAATCAATTATAATTATGCCTTCTATTATTGTAGAGAATTGCAGATGGAAACAACCTTAAAGATGATGTCCAATGCCCTCATTTTACAAGTGAGGAAACTGAGGCCTAGAGAGCTTACAGGAGTTACCATAGGTCAGTCAGCTAGTGCTTCTGTGGGAAAATCTCTACCCATCTCCTTAACCTCTCTTTGTCTCTTTATGTTTACTAGCCAGATGACGTTAACCAGGCCTTTGGGGGGGCATCCCTTCCACCTTCCCAAAATTATGTTAGACTGGCACAGGATAGTTTCAAGTCCCTGAATATCTAATTCCCTTTTTATAGGAGGATTCTTAGGTTATAGCAAGTCGTCTGTACTTGGTGTCCCTGAAACTGTTTTTCAGGGCTGGAAAGATTGACATTAATTAAATTAAGCATGTCTAGTTACTTGGGGTTAGTGATGATCACAGAGGTAGGGAGTAAGGGATCAGAACAGGGAAAGAATGATAGGCTCTCACAGAGAGGGGATACCTCCTTTCCTGATGAGCTGGGAGTCAGACCTTAGCCTCTGCTGGGGTGCACAGAACTCAGTAGGCTAAATTAAATGATGCCACCTGGCTTTAGTTTATATCCCTGTCTGGGCTCTTTTATACCTTGGCCTCAATCCAAGTGGATTATGCAACTGCATAGTAGGTGTGCCTCCTCCATGTTCCCAGCATTACCTTTTTCCTTTTTGTAGGAGATGATATCAACTATGTGGGAAGATAATAGTTCTTTACAGGCCACATCCCAACTTCCAGCCATATTGTCCAGTTAAGAATGATCTAGAACAGGGATTAAGAGAAATGCTTTGGATCAGCCTGTGTAAATGCTGATGTTGAATGGCCAGTACTTGTTTTTAGTAGAAGACATTTCTGTTTTTAGAAGCCAACCATGTATATGCCAATGTGTTTTGTTGCCTGTCCTCCAACAGCTGAAAATGTGGCACAAAAATGGAAAGTGAGTAGAGAAGACCAAGATAGATGTGCTCTCTTGTCACAGAAGAGGACAGAGAATGCACAAAAAGCGGGCTATTTTGACAAAGAGATTGTACCTGTTTCTGTGCCTTCCAGAAAAGGTAGGTATGGATTGTAGTACATAAAACATTAGAAGGGATATTTAAATATAAGAAAAAAATCATATAAGAAGGACATACTGTAATTTCTAAAAATATATTTTTATTAATAGCTTTTTGTTCTTATATCATCCAAAATTCCACCTGTATCATCCTCCCTCCTCTTGTAGATAGTTATGCTATATAATAATAAAGAATTTTTTAAAAATAAACAGCAGGGGCAGCTAGATGACGCAGTGGATAGAGCCACCAGCCCTGAAGTCAGGAAGATCTGAGTTCAAATCTGGCCTCAGACCAAACACTTGACTTGACACTAGCTGTGTGACCCTGGGCAAGTCACTTAACCCCAGTTTCCTAAAAAAAATAAATAGAAAGTAGAAAGTACAAGAAAAAAACAAGAAGCAGAAAAAATAAAATCATCTGAAAGAATTTGCAAAGTTCCACCCCTGTGAACCTCCCACCTCTGCAGAGAAGTGGGAGGAGGTGCCTTCTCATAGCTCTCTTTTGGGGCCATGCTTATATATAGGAATGTTTTAGAAGGTTCGAAGGAAAGTAAGTGGCCTATAGATGTATACCCTAAATCAGAGAAGAGCAGGGGCTGGCTTATAGAGAATCTTAGCAAATCAGAACTTAAAAGGACCTCAGAAATCATTGGATACGTTAGACAAGCATTTGTAAAGCACCTACTATGTGCAGAAGCAAAAGATAGTCCCAACTGCTTAGGAGTTTACCTACTACTGAAGGATTTAGTACACATAGTATGCTAGTCCAGCCTTTGTTTTACTAATGAGGAAGCAGAAACTTGGAGATTAAATGTCTGATCCCAGAGTTACAGCTCTTGAGTAAAAGACTTGGAAAGTCTTTTACTGTCTGCCTACCTGTCTGTCTGTCTGTCTTCAGCATCATGCTTTCTACCAGGCTTAGTATTTTCATTATCTGAAGCAGCTGCAGGCTGGGTTTTTTCTTCCATTTTCTGGCAGAAAAATGTACTTTTGAAAAGCAGCCACTGGAATATAATTTAATATATTCATCTAAAGGTCCCATCAATGGTTATTGAGCGTATTTAATATTGGTGATCTTTTTGATTAGGAGAAGGCAATGGTTTTGTGTAAGAATTTCAAAATGGATTATAAGGAATTACACTCTATAGTCTCATTGTGGTAAGGAGGCTTTTGCCAGTTGCCAGATGAAGTGAAGACCAAGATCCGTTGGGGATCGTACTATTTTCATTTGTTTGTGAGGTAGCACCTAGAGTCATAAAGGAGTTTAGACACCTTGTCTAAGTTTCCCAGTTTCTCAGATGAGAAAATGGACCCAGAGAGAGAGTGTGTGATTTGCTCCCTGCCACATAGATCTCCTGACCCCTTGGTGAAGTTCAGCTCTCACTTTCGGTAACTTTGAGATCAGTTCGTTGGCAGTGTGAAGCCTGTGCAGTGGGACCAGCTTGGCCAGAGCCTTCACCTTGCACCATGAAAAGTGCCTCAGTCCTGAAGTGCTCCCTTGTTTCAGGGCAGGGGGTTACCAGGCTACCTAAGGAGGGGAGTAGCTTCAGGCTTCCATGCCAGTCATTGTTGGGATCTAGCACTTGCAGCCTGGTCAGGACAGGGAGACCAGTCTCGCACTTCACAAAGCTGCCTCCCACTGCACAAAAAGGGACAAACCTAAATGAGATATTCTTCTAACAGCCTAATACAGGAACATCCTTGAAAATAGAGTTCATTGGGGCAGTGAGGTGGCACAGTGGATAGAGCACTGGCCCTGGATTCAGGAGGTCCTGAGTTCAAATCTGGCCTCAGACACACAACACTTACTAGCTGTATGACCCTGGGCAAGTCACTTAACCCCATTGCCTAGCCAAAAAAAAAAAAAAGTTCATTGGAAGAGTTAAGTATTCCTTGCTAATACCCTTCATTTATACCAGGTTTTCTTTTTTGAAAAGTCTAGTTTCCAAGGTCAGCTGGGTGTTGCAGTAGATAGAATACTGGCCCTGGGGTCAGGAGGACTTGAGTTCAAATCCAGCTTCAGACACTTGACGTTTATTAGCTGGGTGACCCTGGGCAAGTCACTTAACCCCAATTGCCTCACCAAAAAACAAACAAAAAAAAGTCTAGTTTTCATGGCAAGTAAAACTCAAACCTGTACTCCTTAAAGTACATAGTGATTTAATTTAAAAGATTGAGTTCTGTGGTTGTTTCAGTTTAAAATGATAATCTTTTGTTTTTTTCCTTTCTCTTTTCTCCTCTTTGAATTAAGTTGGTATCTGTTGACAGTAGTACTAAGGGTATTTTAGGTTTACAGGACACCTCCCTTTCGTGGAAGTCTGAGCTCTTTCCAGTGTGAACTGGTAAGGACACTGCCACGTGCACACATGCACACGTTCCCTGAAGGTCACTAGGAATGTGATCTGGAGTTTCTGTTAACACCCAGTGCCATGTCTGTAATATAATAACTCTCAGGGAGTTGCTTTTCTCTTTTCAGGTCCTGTGGAAGTTAAAACAGATGAATTTCCTCGCCATGGAAGCACTTTAGAAGAAATGTCCAAACTGAAGCCTTGCTTTCTGACAGATGGATCTGGAACAGTAACTGCTGCTAATGCTTCAGGTGAGTTTTTTTGGGAGGGTAGTAGGAAAGATCCCAAGCTCAGGTTTTTATGGCCTATCATAAACTCTCATCTCTTCATTTCTTCCTGTGTGGTATTTTGTGTCCTGACTAATTACTTTGACACTCAGTTTGAAAAATGGGGATAGTTAACATGTCATTCCTACCTTTTAGTAATTAAGAGAAAACATTTTGTGAACTACAAAACATTTCATAATGGAGTTATCATCGCCTTTTGGTTTCTTTAAGGTGACCGAGTTGCTTGTAATGTCATTATTGGTGCCTTTTTAAAATGTCGGTCTTTATATATATATTTTCTTCACCCAATCCTAAAACTGAACCCTTCTTGTGAACAAAGTGAAGCATAAAACATGATATGGTGACTGACATTGTCTGTAACATTGTCCTCAAAGACTCCTGCCGTTCTCCCAATAAGAGGGACTTTTCTTTCTTCTCGGTGACCATTATCTCAGAGTTCAACTTTATTTTTTATTTACATTGTCCTAGTAATTTTGACGTGTTTTTCTTCTGGTTCTATTTCGTTTTTCTCCATAACTTTATACACCTCTTCCTATGTTTCTCTGCATTCTTTGTATTATCATTTCTTAGAGTTGTATATTCACCATCTTCATTTGTTTGCTCAACTGTTCCCCAATTGATAGGCATCCACTATTTCTAATCCTTTGTTACTACAGAGTGCTATTAATATTTTATCTTCTTTAAAAATTTTATTTGAAGTACCAACAAGTTAATTTAGGTGTCTGGGATCTAACCATCAGTCATCTCTCTGTGAGATACATTTTTCTAGATTTCTGGTGTTCAGTAGATAGAGCACTGGGTTTTAAGTCAGGAAGACTGGAGTTAGATCAGGCCTCAGACACTTACTGGCTATTTGGCTGACTCTGGGAAACTCATTTGCCTGTTTCCACAACTGTAAAACAGATAATAGCACCTACTTTGAAGGGTTGTTGTGAGGATAAAATGAGCTATTTGTAAAAAGTGCATAGCACAGTCTAGATGCTATGTAAATGCTTATTCCCTTCCACCTATAACTTTGTTTTTCTCAGTTGGAAATTCCTAGGGTTCAATTATCTGGATACTCCAGGGAATAAAGTGGTGGTATAAAGTAGGCATCTCTCCTTATCTAACTCATTTCATTCTAGCCTGCCCCGCCCCGTTTTTAAAGAACCATTCTACTAAGGCATAATTACAATTGTCAGTTATCTTCCACATTTATAAATTAATGGGATAAAGCATTTGTAATGTGAATTTCACCTGGAGTTGAATCTGGTAGATCAACTACAATTTTTAGGTGAGACTTTATACTGTATAGCATTCTGTTGTGGATAGTACGTATAAACTGTCAGGTGACAGGGGAGATTTGGCATGGGATGAGAATAATATGTCTTGAAAACACCTATCTCACGTTATGTAGGAATAAATGATGGAGCTGCAGCTGTGGTTCTCATGAAGAAGTCAGAAGCAGAAAGACGAGGTCTTACACCCTTAGCTCAGATTGTATCCTGGTCACAAGTTGGTGTAGATCCTTCCATTATGGGATCAGGACCAATTCCAGCAATAAAGCAGGCTGTAAGTACTGAATTTTAAATAGCAATCAAGATTTTATGGATGGAAGGGACCTGAGAGAGGGATCATATAGTCTTAACCCTTCACTTTCTGGATGAAAGAATTAGGGGTCCACAGAGACCTAAAGTAATAGACCTGGCTTTTGAACCCAGATCCTTAGGTTCCAAATCTATTTTCTATTGTGCCATACAACCACTGATTTTACTTTTTGGGCAAGATCCATAGTCAGGAAACTTCTATCAAACAGTCTGCCAGTCAGTGCACTTGTTCTACAATTTATAGTTTATGAGAATTGCATGGGTAGTGAAGGGTTAAGGTCACTGCTGGGGAAAAAATTTTTTTTTCAAGGGAGGGGAGGGGCAGGGAGACTCTTAGCATTATACTACCTCTACTCACCAGTAACTTTTTAATGTTACATAGGTTGCCAAAGCAAATTGGACACTAGAGGATGTTGACGTATTTGAAATCAATGAGGCCTTTGCATCCCTTTCTGTAGCAATATCAAAGGAACTTGGATTAAATCCAGAAAAGGTGAGCCTATCGTTTGATACTTTTACAGGGTCAGATGACAGTATTTGTAAAAGTCCCCTCAGCGACTACCAAGTATGTAGGTTCTGTAATGCTTATTTCCTTGCCAGCCTCATAGGTGACAAATTACTGATCCATCAGAGGGGAAAAGTAAGTTCCCGTTATACTATAGCAGTAAGCTAGACATTAGATCCCTCCAAGGAAATGATCCACAGCAAATGTGTGGTTTTTTTTTTTTAAGGTCAATATTCAAGGTGGAGCCATAGCTTTGGGACATCCCCTTGGGGCATCAGGGTGTCGAATTCTTGTTACTCTGTTACATACACTGGAGCGAATTGGTGGAACCCGTGGAGTTGCTGCTCTCTGCATTGGAGGAGGGATGGGAATAGCAATGTGTGTTCAAAGAGGATGAAAAGAAAAATTCTAATAACCTTGGTTTCAATAAGTAGTTTAACAAATTGTAAAATTTTAACCACATTTTAACTCGAGTCTTTAAAATGAACTAATTAAACTACCTGTGAAAAATGTTTCAGGGACCAAAAATAGAGTTAGATGTTTTATTTTCTTTCATCTCCCTTATAAAAACTCAAGTCAACATGACAGGTTGTTGTATTTTTTAAGTCTATACACTAAGTGTAAGACAAAATGGTACAGGATGAAACAGATGAGTAACATTGTTATAAATAAAGAAAATTACATCAGTCTTCAATAGCCCCAGAATGAACTGCATCTTCGTAACTTCCTCCTCCTCTTTTATCATCTTTACTTTCTGGATGTAACTTAATGAGGTCATCAATTCGAAGAATAGTAATTGCAGCTTCTGTTGCAAATTTCAAACTCTTAACTTTAACCATGGTAGGTTCAAACACACCACTCTGCCTGTTGTCTCGGGGTTTGCCATTGATTAGGTCAAGACCAATCCTGTAATTGGGGGGAAATAAAGGTATTAAAAACAAAGGCTGTTTCATCTCTTATTAAAACCACCCCCGGGGCAGCTAGTTAGCAAAATGGATACAGCACCAGCCCAGAAGTCAGGAGGACCTGAGTTCAAATCCGGCCTCAAACCAAACACTTGACACTTACTAGCTGTGTGACCCTGGGTAAGTCACTTAACCCCAACTGCCTCAAAAACCACCACCCCCCACTTTCCAACTCACAAATTGGAGTGTTATTTTAAACATATAGTACTTGCATACAAACTACTTCTAGGAAGCTATTCACTTCCCCATGCCTCCATCAACAACGAAGATTCCATTCTCTTAAATGTTTTGAACCTTTAGATAAAAGCACTCCCAAAATTCTGCCCTGTTCCTTGTACGTTCAAGAGAACAGTAAAAGCAGAAAAATTTATACTTGCCATTTCAGGTTCTTGCGTTCTGGGTTAACTTGAGCCTCGTTATGAAAAGCTCTTAACTTGGCAACCAAATCTGTAGAGTCTTGGGCAGCATTAACTGCCAACGTGTTGGGAATAATGAGAAGAGATCTGGCAAATTCTGCAATAGCAAGTTGTTCCCGTGATCCCTGAAGGAGAAAAAAAAAAAGGAAGCTAAACTCTAGTGAGTAATGGAAGTAGGTTCCCCATCTCCGTCCTCCCCAGTCTCTTCACTCTTCTTACCATGCTGGTTGCATAGTTCTCCAGATAAATGGAGAGGGCTGCTTCTACAGCACCACCTCCTGGTACTACAGACTTTGACTCCAGGACTCTCTTAACCACGCAAAGAGCATCGTGCAAAGAGCGCTCCATCTCATCACACATGAAGTCATTTGCTCCACGTAAGATAATTGAGGCAGATGTCCGAGCTCTGGTGCTGTAATAAACAGGCTTGGTTAACCAATTCTTTGTAACAAACCAGAATTACAGAATTTAAAAGTCTAAAATGTTAATACTTCACAGAGCAGCTGTTCAATGTTTTTTTCACACTGAGGTAATGCTATATACTATAAAACTATTTTACCTCAATATTAAATCTCTTAAGTATAAAAAAAAGTTCATTTATTAGTTATTCAGACTTTAGAAAAACCTAATTGACCACCAGTCTAACCCATATCAGAACACTAAATTCCATCTACAACTACAACATGCTTAATGGTTAGTTATTCTGCCATTACTTGAAGGTCTCTGACAAAGGTACCAGCATCTTCCACTTTGGGTCATTGCTAATTCTATCATGCAAAAACAGGTCCTTTTCTGTCTTCCACCCACTGCTACTCTGGGGCCGAGCAGAACAGGTCTGATCCTTCTTGGACCACCCCCACCCTTTGGTAATTAGTGGTCTACACTGATCCTCATGTGGCACAAATGAGAAAGAGGCCCTCTCTATCCCGGTTACCCTCTTCTGGATGCTCTCCAACTTCTCAATGTCTTTTCTAAAATGTGTGTAAATTATTAGCAAAAAATAATGTGATAGACCCTGTAACACAGATGAAATTATGTTTTCATCTTAATTTACAGGACTAATCTTAATGTCTCCCATGCGTATAACTGCTCATACTACTGAAAGAATGGCAGCAAATAAATGGGAAATTATGTGACTCCGATTTAATGAGAATAAAAAGAAAAACTGATATAAGCTTTGGTATTCAATAGTGTGGCTTACTTTTTGATTAAAATTAGCTCGTCATCACAGATCCTCTCTTGTACTACCTCTTCTGCTTGTCCCAACATTGAAGCTTCAAAACTTTCTTCACCTTCCAGATTAGCCAGGGTTGACAAAATGGTTGCTTTTAAGTGGGAAAAAAAAAAAATTTTACAAGCATTTTCCTCTGACTTCTCTTGCACAAAAACAAAGACTTTAAAGATAACCAATTAAAAAAAAAAAAACCAAGATAACCAATTTTGTTACTACATGAACTGCTTACTTTCCCACCTAGTAACAAGGGAAAGATGTTGGCTTGCTAAGACCTAAATGGAACTACATTCTCCAAACACCCTAACATACTAAGAAAAAGGACCAACCACACATCACAATGATTAAGATATTATTTGCGTCCCTCTCTAAAGTGATTTCTAAGAAATTATGAGTTTAACACTTTCCAAGGTGAATCAAAAAGGATACTGAGCCAAACTGAAAAATGTTTCATAAGGTCAGTATTACATTTTTATTTGCCAAAATTCATTAAAAATTTGGTTAGCAATAACAACTATTTGAAAATAGCTATTTATATTTTTAAGTGCTAAAGCTTATACAGAGCAAACGTTAAGCTCCTCATTAAAAGTTTTAGAGAGATCACAAAGTACTTTTTATTTAAGGGCATACCTATAGAGAAAGTTTATCACTTTAATAAGTCTAATTCCCACACAGAAAAACTAGCTCCTAAACATTCAGACTTACCTCCAGATGCTTTAGCAATTCGCTTAAGGTCCCTTTTTAATACTCTTCGGACTGCTATAGTTGAAGACTCGACAAAGTATTTTAGACACATATCATCAATTCCACCAGTGGTTAAAATAACATTGGCACCAGTGGCCAGTATTTTTTGAATTCTCTCCTTCGTAATATCTGATTCTCTAAAGAGACATGATAATCACTATTAATCTAAATTTCTCTCTTAATACAGGAAAGTTCTGAATAACTTGAAATAAATTGTTCAACAGAAACACTCATAAGCTACTCAAATTTATTTACTAATATCATTCAACCAAATTATTCTTTTACATTTAAGATTGCATTATCTATATAAATCAAGCTCCTTTGCAGAAAGTTTAAAAAAGTCCCTAATATTTTTCACACTTCAAAAATTTTACCAAGGTATTGTGTTCAAATTTACCAACATCATTGATATTTCTAATGTTAGTCACATTAATTTTTGCAAGCTTATGGATTAAACTGTGAAATATTATTTCAATTAAAGATTCAAAATACTCTAAAAATGTTGTTAGTCTTTTCCACATTTTAATTAAGTTAAAATGTCAATGTGATTTCATACTAACAAGTACTAAATATTCTGGATATGTACTAAAGATACTTGACACAAAATGTGCATATATACACATATGTGTATACATTTGCATTACAAAAATATAGCAAGGATTATAAGCAATGCCATTCCAACAAGTTTGATATTACTTCATCAAATGGTTCATTTACTACAATGTAATTCTCCACAACAGCTTTAATAATTGTGCTAGCACAGCCAAGTGCGAAGAAACAGAAAAACACGCTTAAGGGAGAAAATTTATGCTTTACAAGCACTTGTGGTAGCAGGAAATAGGTAGGGTTTTCATGCCTTTAGCATTAATCTTAGGCAAGTCTGGCAGTTAGGATCATCCCACAGTTTGCTATATATTCCTTCTTGCTTTTGCATAGCTTCTACAGTTAGGACTAGATGTTTCCTATCTGTGATTGTCATTTGCACAAATACACTTGTAGCACAACAAAATACAATGGAAAAGTTACAATTTAAGCAAACATCATAGTAACAATCTATACATGCTATAATACCATTTCAACCTCAAGTAATACAGGCCTAGTATCCAGCTTAAAAAAAATATATATATTTTTTAAATATGTATATTCATATTTGTACTATTCCAGCTTCCCAGAGATTTATGTAAAATAGGCTGTGATTTTAGTTAATTTTAAAATGCTTATTTCCTTGAAGCCTACTCTAAAATTAATTTGTATAAATTCAATATTCAGTTCAGTTTAGTGAACACTTCTAATATTATCCTGCTCAGATAAAAACAAATTATTTGCATCCCTTAGACATACAGAAAAAAGAAAGAGGAAGAAAAAGGGAAAGAGGGACATGGGGAGGGGGAGGGGGGGAGAAAGAGAGACAAAGGAACAGAGGGAGACACAGAAAGACAGGAGAGAACCCCAATCTACCTCTTTCTAATTTGATCAAGTTTTTCTGGGTCTGTAATGACCACTTGCACACCAAGCTTCATTTTTGTTTTCTGTAGGCTGAAGTCCAGGCAAGCAATTTTTGCATTGACTATTCTTTTGGGCATGCCTAAAAATAAAATGGAAAATCAGATTTTTTTTTAAAAATAAGATTTATAACATTTACTCTAAACTGCTACTTATTACCCTTCAATTCTGCTTTTTAGAAGTACAGATTTCCTAAAAAAGATTAAGAAAAAGAAGCATGTCTTAATTGTGAGGAAGCATAAAAAGAATACATTAGGCTTCTACCCTAAATCTAGAGTTCCACTATTGTTAAATAAAGTCACTTTCTGAATTGAATTCTCCCAACCACCAGTTCTGAAAAATAAATTCAACAACCACAACTGACATATTAGCTTAAATTATAACATAAAAGAGAAAACAGCTAAAGGGTGACCAGACATTAGAATATACACTCAAAATATTCATCATGTTTCTGCTGTTTTCCCTATACTTTTGTTTTTGTTTTTTGGTAAAGCAATTGGGGTTAAGTGACTTGCCCAAGGTCACACAGCTAGTACGTGTCAAGTGTTTGGTCTGAGGCCGGATTTGAACTCAGGTCCTCCTGACTTCAGGGCGGGTGCTCTATCCACTGCACCACCTAGCTGCCCCTCCCTATACTTTTTGAAGAGTAAAATCGACCTGCAAATACTGCAGGGATGACCTAAATATGTGCTACAATTTGTATTACTGTTCAGTCTATTAAAAACAGTTTGAATCATGGATCGTTTAAAAAAAATAAAAGGGGGAGGGTGGTGGTGGGAGAGAGAAGAGAGGATGATAAAGAATAATGATTGCCAACATCTCTTGCATAATTCAA